ATAATTTTATTCAGGTGCTTAACTCCATACATCGATTAACAAAAAGTAAAAAAAATAGCTCCTATTGTATTTTCCAAAATGTCATACAACTATTTTTAATAAAATTTATAATTATTTCTGTAATTGCATCATTTATTAAAAATAATAAGAGCAACAAAACATGCTTTCAAATTAAGAAATTTATTATTATTTACGCCAAGATCATTTATTAAACTATCATCTAAAAGATTTATTTAACATTTTTTAGTAAATTTTAACTTGTTTCGTATGTATACCGTTCAATTTTCATATGCAATATAGTATATGCACGCACATCTGAAAACTATATCGGAAACACGAACAGTACGAATAAAATTCGGAATTATTCCACCAAGTTATTACATATTTTCGCATTATGATAACCCTATTGTTTTAAAGTATATGATATAATGGATCGCACAGTCGTGTATGTATTTTTCGATTTTTGCATGCATTCATCGATATACATATTTGATCTTTTTAATGTTAGTTCCCTTAAAATATAATACTTATTACAGTGCCTTTTAAATAAGCTTTTATGGTGCATTTTAATTTCTTTCATACTTTTATGTTTGCGTAAAATTACAGCTCGTTCGCTAAAAAAAAAAAAATGTCTAATAAAACTAAAAATGATTTCAAAAGGTATAATTTCAACTATCTACAAACAAAACATTTGTAATGAAAATTATTATAGTATATTACGATAGCATGCTTTTTATAGGTATTTAACTAAATGGGTTATCTTTTTTATCATAATTTCAATGAATTGCTTGCACATTTTGCACATATAGCGCTGCACAATAGCTGAAATAACATTGATTTGTTTGTAATTTTATTATTTAAATGTTATTCAAATCACAAATGCCGGAGGCAAAATAAAAAATATTTTTCTAAATAATTATACATCAAATTTAGTTGTTGGTAATCAAAAAAATACCTTCAAATTTATTTACAGATATTACTGGTATCTATTTAGAATCTTGTACGTGAGATATATTATTTATTATTATATGTATACCGTAATTTACTTTTTAGTAAATTATACTTATAATAAGTTTATTTGATTTGATTTTTGTAACTTAAATTATTTTATTTTAACAACGCAAACAAACGAAAGTGGTGTCAGGAGCTTTCGTTTCTGACACACATCGAACTTTTGATACTCGAAAGAATACGTGACGCGCATACACGCATGCAAGCGTGAAGATACGACTGAAGTGCACACGACAGAAAGTCGAGCCACAGATTTTCTTCGATCTCGATTTTCAAGCAACACCTTTTTACAGGTGGCAACCAAGACATAATCTCAGTCGGGAAGCCTTCTCTTGGCAAAACAATAGTTTCGACCGGTAATCCCGGACTGTGTTTTAATCTGAAAGAACACCGCTACGTCGCTGATTGCATTGCATAGTAATCTTAGTTTTTATCGCGTCTCGAGATTGGTGGAGGTGTCGACCAGGAGTTTCTACGTGTATCAGGCTGGTGCAATCTGCATTATACACGCCATCACGTATAATTGTGAAAAGAGTAAGAGAGCGCGGACCAGACGGCAAGAGAAAAATATCCGCACAATATTCCGATTCGCTAACATCATTTGCGTGCATATACTTATTCATTATAAATTTGAATGTGCAATACATGTAAATCAAGATAATATCAGTTCTCTGTAAATGCAACTATCAATGGCATTTCTTGCCATGCACATTTCTGGATAATAATTAAAATGTTAGAGAATCAGTCATTATTAATGATAATGTTATACCATTAAAGATCGACTAATTCGATATTTTATATTTCGACGCGAAACGTTAGCTTTCTGAAGTTGACAAATGAAAACATTCGAAACGCGACTGTCGTGAGCTTAGCGTGCAAATATCACATCGATATTCTGAGGAATAAAAAATATTGGGACAGAAACGTTTGAACAAACGATAACAAAAGCCATAAAAAAAGTCGATATTATCGGCTGACTATGTCAATCGACAGAGACAACTTGCTGTTTTAATTAATAGTCTAAAAAGGATAGTATATAACCAATGTTGCTGGATCGGAGAAACTTGTATATCGCAAAACACCACATCAACGTGCCGACGACATATAACGGCGCTACCATAAATCTACCAGTTCAGCAATATAGATTTTGTCACAGTTTTCTCCAATTTTTATAAGGATATTTAAGAGACCTGAACGTTTATGTGCCTGCTGATTAGTAAACTGCAGATAATGCGTTTATCGTCCTCTCCACCATTCACCGGCAATAATTAATTACTTTAGAAGACCTTTTAAGTCGTTGACCGCGACGCAACGTAATTATCGCAAACAGCCTCATAATGACGCAAAATTTATGCATTGTGACAAACTTACGGTATCACGGCGCTATTAAATCATGCATAATGCTCGAAGCTTTTTTTCGAGCATCCTAATAGAAACTAACGATTTTCGCAAAAGTCGCACCATGTGCACAAATCGATGTAATACTGATGCTTCCGATATTACTGTCATTTTTGATTTCGCAATTACATAAACGCTTCACATCTGTGACAAGCCAAAATTTATTTTAGAGTTTAAAATTCTTATTATCTTTTATACCTATAAAATTATTTATTGTTTAAATTTGCAATACGTATACAAAAATTTAATTAAAAATTTAATTAAATAATTTAATTAAATTTCAGATTTTATAATAAATTAATTAATTTTTACTACAATAAATGTTTATTACGGAAAATAATATGCAGTATTTAAATAAAAGTAAAAGAAATAAAATAAAATTTTTTTACTTTCTTTACATTTATTTAATTTTTAGATTTTTAAAAATTTCAAGGTTATAACTTTATACACATCTTAACTTGATTTTTTATTTTTAATCACAATTATTTGATTTTGTATGATGTGTGTGTGTGTGTGTTTCTGGTCGTCAAATTTTTATAAAGCACATCAACGATAATAAATAATAATAAGCACAAATTACAAAATGTCGCAATATTAGCGAAATAATGCCACATCTTTCTGATGAACGTAATGGAAAATAAGCAAAAACCGAACAAGATTTTTCCCGAAAATTGTTGTTGAAAAATTATTAAAAAACGGCAAATGGGAATCGATCGTTTCATCAAACCTTCAATATAAAAAAGAACGCAATAAAGTCAGTGATATTGAAACCAATACAGATACGTCGCTACTGGAAATAAACTATGCGGATTTACGATAATGAATCAATCGGATTACGTACAGTTTGCGAGCGTAAATTAAAGTGTGCACGATGGAAACCAAGGAATACAAATAGTCTGCTTATCAGAGGACATTGACGTAAAGAATGTTATTGAACAATGTTGTACGATGTAGCCATATAAAATCCTCCTCGGGATAAAAACGCGATTTTAAACGAAATACGCACACACGAATGAAAACGTGCCGAGTTTTCAATGCGGAATTAATGGTTTCATAAGTAATGAATAAAAATTACGCTTAAAAGCACACCAATTCGCTCCCAGGACTATCTGGAAAAATGCAAAAGCGTTGTATTCGCAGAATCAACGAATGAATTAAATTCCGTGAGAGTTATCTATGAATTGATTGCTCTTAGCTCAGTTTTATGTCCGTGCGAAATTTAACGAAAAGTTAAATCATCTATATCATCTCGCATTTCAAAATGTCGATTAATTGCATACAATTACGAGTAGTATTTCGCGTAAATTAAACTGAATAATTAAAGCAATGAATTCAAAATAATTGGGAAAGCTGTCTAGGTTGAAATGGGAGAAAAGCTGCTTTCTCGTTATGTATTAATTAAAACAGTATAATGATAAATTTAATCTATGAAACAATTCTGTAATTAAAATTCAAAAAACTATGTCGCTTTCATATGTGCTGTCGCATCTATCACAGACGCATCCAAATTTTCTCCATTAATCACATTGATTGTGTGCATTTTATTAAAACAGACGTAGCTAAAATTTAAATAGGGAAAACTAGATTCCTAACTTCGCAAGGTATTTCACTTGAGTTCTCGGACATTGTAATTTACTTCTTTGTGTCAATCGGAAAAGTAATCTAACGTGCCAATGAGAAAAATCGCGGCGGCGAGATAGACATCCCATCCTCCGAAACGATGCATACGCATTACTCGTCACTCTTTCGGACAGACTCATTCCCCGCTGTCTAATTCTGTTCGCAGCCTTCGCGAATATTTCATTACCACCATTTCTCGGCTTATACCGAGGAAGTTCAGTTACGAGAGGTTTATATAGTCGTTAATTACGTCAAGTACCATTACTTCGTTTGCATTATAATTCCTTTTTACGATTATTATTGAAAATGAAACAAAACTGAAAAAACAAAGGAACGCTTCATTTAAATAAAACTTTGATTGTTCAGAAATCACTGTAGTTTTACAAGTATTATATTATGAGTCATAAATTACTATTTCAGTGTTTTAAATACAATATAATAATTCAATAAAACGCGACATAACATAAAGATTTTACAATTGTTTGTGGTAATAATGGCAGCGAATAAAAAAAACATTTAAAATAGCAAGATCACCAGTTATAAACTGTTCATTAATTTTATATTAAAAGAACAAATTTTTATTGATGAAAGATGGAGCATGTAACGTTACGCAAGTTGAACCATTAATAATCATGTAAAATAGCGAGATATATAAGAGATATACCTATAAACACTGTGTGCATGTTACAACAGCTCAATGAGAAAGATTTAATTTCCGATACAATACTATGTATATCTAGCTATACAGCAGCACCATTTTCAGCGTAATAATACTTGGCGCAATACTTTATATGATATCTGGTTGAAAAATCGCTACTAATGAAGGCATAAATATGAGTGTTCATTGAATTACGGCGCAGCAAAAAGCTAATAATACTGCCGATCTCGACGGGAGGAAAACCGTTTGTGGATTGTGACGGATGAATATGCCGCAATGCAATAGTAATCAACTATATTGAAATGGAACTCACCGGTTTTCACAGTTGGAGACGCCGACGGCTGCGCGTATAGGACATGCGTGCCTCCTAAGAGCGCCAGGATGACGCGAAAAAACTTCATACTGGTCAGCATATTCACTCCATGGAAATCCTGGAACACACAAATAACACTTGCTATATTTTTTGCAATTAACAGACAAATTTGAGCGCAAGTAAAAATAAAAAATTAACTAGCGTAATTAAAAGAAATAAAGATGTATGTTTGTTAGGTATTAATAAAGTAAACAAAATAATTAATTTATCCTTTATAATTAATTTTGTTGAACATATAATTTGTAGGAAATATAGTATATAATACGTAGGTCACAACACACACACACACACACACACACACACACACACACACACACACACACACACACACACACACACACACACAGAGGAAAAGTCATACAATTGTGAAATTTAGCAATTAAACCTGAAACTTTGAAAAAGACAGATTACATGAGAAAAAATTGTTTCCAGATGGGTGCTAAATCTTGAATAATTTCGAAGATGAAGTGATCTATTAATATGTTGTGCTCGATGACACAAAACGATTATCATTAAATAATCATTTCAATAAAAAACGGCGACCACAAATTTTGGAAAATCGGGAACTGTTATCAGATCTTTGTTATTTGGCTTTATTCTCTAAAAACACGTTGCCAACTTAACAATTAATATATCAGAAATGAGATCCGGCTACCTGATGACTGCAAACTACCGATTTTGATAACAGCCAACGTTTTTTGCCAGCGAAATTTCGAGAGTAAGCATATTCCCTTCTTATCGCGTGATTTTAATACTAAAATTAGAATTTTGACAGACAAAAATCTATAAAGAGAAAACTAAAGCGTATTAAGGATTATGTCAAAATACTCGTAAACTATTTAATAAAAAATATGGTGTGTGTTATTTTTTATCGCAGATTGAAGATTAGAACTGTGCACTTTGAAAAATACCAAAAGCAGTGAGAAGAAAGCAACAAAAAAAGAATGTTTTTATAGAGTTACAGTTTTCCGCAAAGATGGCAAAGATGAAAGCTGAAGAATATGAGTGTAATGAGGAGTGAAAGAGAAGATGTAATTAGTTGTGTGAGAAACTTCTCTCAACTTTATGAGAAGCGCGTAAACTCATGAATTCCTCATATTCGGCTAATGTGCAGCTCTGCTTTAGGCGTAGACGCACAGTTAGTCGACTTTCATATACATGGTGTCGTAAAATATATATGATGTGTGCATTTATTACACAGATTGCTATATTTCGCAAAACTGTTATATCACAATATATAAATATTATAAATGAATAGAAGATACTTAAAGTTCAATAATCGGTATTAGAGTGTTATTAGCACTAATGAACAATATATTACGATATATAATATTACAATTTAAAAACAATTTGCATGAAAAATATCTGCATGTATGTACATGTATTACGAGACAGTAGCCACCAGCATCAATTGACCACAGTAACATGCATTGATAATATCGCTATATAATGCGCTGATGCGAATCTATCTTCTTGTACCAGTCATTTGATTCGTGGACTTTGCACAGATTTTCAAATAAAATTTGCTATAAAATATTGGTAGATATTGTTGTCGATCGTAATTGGCGCTTTCATTTGAACATTAATATACATTTTATTTATTTTTATGTCTTAGAATCTTATATCATATCATTTGACAGGTCTAGAACTTTACAACGATGCATTGAAATCTTATATTTTAAAAGAAATAGTCTAGAATTCTAAAATATAATATTTCAATGCATCGCAGTAAAAAAATACACATTCTAATGTTCTAGGTCTATCAAATATTAAGATACAAGACATTCTAAGGCATAAAAATGAATAAAATGTACATTTTAATATTCTAGACTATATTTTGTTTGCCAATCGGCATTGTGCAACAGCGATACAACAATAAACTTCGATACTATTGAAATATATCTATAACATGCCTGTTTAAAGAGAAAATCATGAAGAAAGATATGATTTCGTGAATTCCTAATTTTACAATTTAGCGCGATAAAAAATATTATTTATAGTACTTCTCTACTTTTAGTAAACGAAATAATCGTGATTTTATAACTAAACATTATTATAATAAGATACACTTACTACATAAGCTACAACTATTTTATAAAAATGCTTCCTGAAAATTAGCAACTTTAACTTGCGCTCAAATGTAAGATGGATGTTGGTTCTATACTACGTATTTAGCCAAAATCCATCCCTCAGCATCATTACCAGACCAGTTTCTTGCTGAATCTTAATGGTAATGTAGTTTTTCCGCAAAATTTCAACTCACATCACGCCAACAGGTGAAATACTAAGAGCATAGCGAAACATTAGCTATACAAGTTTTTGATCCTAATCCATGAAAAAGAGTATGAATTTCTGGATTCTGGTTTCAACAATCCACCGCGATGTAAAGTTCTCTTCACACAGTACTTCTCATCGCGGTGGACTGCAAAAACCGGAATCCAGAAATTCATACCCTTTTTCATGGATTAGGGCCAAGAACTTGCACAGCCAACAGGTTTGCTGTGTTTTAACTGCTTCACCTGTTAGCGCAACGTGAGTTGAAATTTTGCGGGAAAACCACATTATGTCACAGAGCTTCAACAAAAAAGATTTAATAATAATGCTGGAGTATAGATTTTATAATAATTATAATTCAACGTATAAGTGATATACATTTAAATTGAATGATTAATGGCTTGGTTGGCAATTATTAAAAGGTATTCTTCGAAAAATAGCTACAGCAATAAATTATTTTTGCAAAAATATTCGCATATATTTACAAGTATAACAGTATCTAATACAATGATAATTATTTCTTTCATTGAAATAAATTATTGTAGATATTAACAATTTTTGATTGAATAATTATTGAAAATGTTAAAACTGGAAAAAAGCAAAATTGAAATTGGCGTAGACAGATGAAAGCAATTCTTGTTTGTAGAATCGAGAATTTATCTTTTGCATCTTTTTTATAATCTTGTAATATTTAAGTATTACATACCAAAAAGATAAATATTTTAACAAATAATATAATAATGATTGTAATTGTACAATTAGACACACATATTAATTACGCAAGATGTAATAACGTAAAAATTTTCAATATAATATTTAATAAAATAACAAACAATTTTACTTTTTAGTTCTTAAAAGCATTTGATATATTTTCAGATGTATTTTTTAATCCCTACGGACAAAGATAGATAACTTGCTCATTCGTAGCTTTACGTCCCGACATAATCCTACCCGAGATAGATCGACTTCGTCGCAATGTTTCGCACCGAGTGGAAACACCGTCGCCTCCTCGTTTTCCCACCGCGATATCGCCGCGGGGAAGAGAAAAAAAAATGAAACACAACGATAGCGTCGTCTCACCGCGGAATGAGATTCTGATACCGCGATTCGATCGCTGCGCGTTGTCGCTACGGGAGTGTAATAAAAGGGGGTATGACGCAGGTAATAAGCGAAAGCGGGCGTAAAACGCGAACGCTGATTTATCGGAAATTAATATGCTACAAAAGCTGGCGAGGAACACTTGGCGCCGTTTACGAGCGCGTGGAACAAGGATAGAAAGAGAATTTAAAATAGATTTGCCCGAGCGAAAAAATACTCCTCGTCGTCGTCTGTTCTCCTACGAGAGCTTATCGCGGCTAAGATAACGATGAGCCCTGGGGTGGGCCGTGCAAGCGACTAAGGCACATTGATGGTCGCCGTTAAGAGGATGGAGGAAGAAACTCGCGACTGCTGGCTAGATGTATCCCCCTCGTCGGCGCGAGTGGGAGATATCGAGCATTGTATATCCCGCCAACCACCGGCGCGCAACCGCCGTACCATCGACTCACGGAGATCCGCAAGAGTTGATCCACAGAATGGATAGATCGTAGATAAGTAGCGATCTTGCCTCTCGGTTCGGGAACGCCGACCCGATCCGGCTTAAAGCGACAGAAGTCGAGTAGTGCGACTTGGAGCGTGAACCCACGCTGGGAGATGTGTTGGGAAACGAGCCACCGACGGTTGCCGTGAAGATGCTCTTCAATAGACTCGATGACTAAACACTTCCGAGCGAAAAGTAAAAAATTGAATATTTGCTTCAAGCAGATTCGACGATAACATTTGTTGCTTTATGTGTTTTTTGTATGTAACAAGCGAATGAACAGCGCTATACACATCATTGATACGCATTTGCGGTAAATGTTAATTCAACTTTGTCTGAAGAGATTCCATGTGGTATACATGTATGATTAGCAATGCCATTTTGAATAAAAATCTTGAAAAAGAGATTTGAAAAAAAGATACATTGGGCTCGTCTGTAACAATCCGACTAAATAAAATTTCAAATTTGCAAATTCTATGATAAATTAATCTTCAATTTATTTTCTTCAATTTACGGTGTCGAGGTACCATATTACGCACATGATAAAATCTCTGCAGATAAAATTAAATTAACATTCGGTAAAAGTGCGCGATGACGCGCAGTTATATATCGCGGTTATAATTCGCTGATCGATTATTCATACGATATCCTCCATTAGTGGGATGATTTATCACTCGCACGAGATATTGCATTCAAATTTCATTACCTTAATAGGGGCTAAACTCTTAATGACCACATATGCCGTGATACTCCATAGGTGGGAGTCAATAAATAATCGCCAGCAGTCTCGTCCCTTCCGTCCAACGGATCGCAGATCGTCTAAATCTACCGATCACTCGGCCGTATCAGAAATTCATTCCGCAGAGAGACCATTTCTACTCTTCCGCGAGCGCGAGCTCTCAAGAAAAAAAATGACGTAGACGAAGCACCCGCAAACTTGGTAAAATATCGCGGTGCAACCGGCGCCGCGATGCGCCACGATGCACCTGCATTCGTGACGGATACACTCGACGAGCCTTCCGAACAGGGTTTCACACACGGCCAGCAAACGCGTGTCGACGATTTATCGCGTTCGTATACTTGCTATTATGTGCACACGCCGTCGTAGGAAAGCATACACCTGCAATAAATAGCAGAAATGCACGGAATCACCTCGAATGTTACCTTTTATCCGCCATTGAACCGGATGTGACAAACTTCTTATC